AAAGAGCACAGTTCTCAAAGTGGCAGCTGCTAGGCTCTGCAGTCGGCGGCCGCCAACGCCCAAAACCAGTTCAACATGGACTGCTGGCTGGGTCTCTAGCGTTTGCCCAGGGATGCCATCCTCCGTGCCATAGTAGATTTGAAGCTGTGGTGTGGGTATGCACCAAGCTGCGATGGAACTATGTCGCCATGCTCGGGATTAGAAGCGAGGCTGAAATCAAAAAGCGGCGACTAACCCAGCTTCTGGCAAATGCAGCAGCTTACTCACTTGTTTTGTCCATGCAGTCGCAAGGCAAACACAATGGCATGCACATTTGTTCATCCAAACTTTGAAGTGTTTGCAAGTACATTCTTCAAACACGTGACGGTCGAACTTGATACAAGTCAGACCTAAAGGTAATGTTACGAACAAGGAGGAACTCGGAAGCATAAATTCTAGACAGCCACATAGATTACACCAGTGAGTGCGTTGCTACACCAGAAGTAGCACCACAAGATCTTGATGGAGAAAAACAAGCGAAGGGCACCCATCAGAGAAGCATCAGGGAGAGTGCCGACGCAAGCAGAAAGCGACCACAAAAGACAGGATGCAGAAGTGAAACCTGAAGAAGACGGCCAGGCAGGAGAAGATCTTCAAACGAAGCTTTGTTCCCATTTGCACCGAATGTGGTAGCTTATCTGTAGTTTTGGCCTAGAACATGGCAACGGGCCGTTTCATACCCTGTTGCAGGAGCTTCGAATCATGGTCTTGTGTCCCTGGTCCACACCCCTTCGTTCCATAAGCTGACCAGATTGCCGAATGATTTTCGCTCCATACCATGTTGTGTACCCGTTTCAGACCACCAACATTGCCCTCGGATCTCCATGCAAATGCCATGTTTGCACGCGTTCCTGTTGATCAAGTGAAAGCCGACGTGAGGAAATTCAGGCACATGTAAGCAGGCGAGAAGCTCAGCGAACCGGCAAACATACCATTTGAAGTCTGCATGGGCTCACAAATTCCAGAGCACGAGGTGGATTTGTTAGTGCTTGCCCTTGTTCAAGAGAAGTTGCGGAGCGGTTTCAGGGCCTAGGTATCTGAGGGCCTATCCCGCCTGCTGTTTTGTGTGCTTCAGCATCGGATCAACATGATTTGCTGCAGAGGATCCAGATCAAAACTGCACAAAACTGCAGATGATGCTGCTGCGGGTTCTGAAAACTCCGCACTACCTCAACATCCATTTGGCTTCCTGACAAACTCCTTGGCTATCCAGGATATCCAGTTTCGCCATGTTTCAGACGATCTACTACCAGAGAGCGCCAACAAGTGGGAGGAAGCTAATAGGTAGAAATATCATTCCATAGGTCAAGGATGGGGAGGGTTAAGCCGGAGGCAGCACTTTACCTGCTACTTGACAATTCGGCCATCCGTAGTGCTGGTGAGGCACACCATGATTGTTGAGAGCAATTACGGTGGCAGGAGAGAGACTAGCAGCAATGTTGGAGGAAAGTTGAGGAGTTAAGCAGCGATCAGGTATGCAACTGGAACGCAGGGAGAATATTTGCCTGCCGATAATTCTGAAGGCCTGGGGAGACAATACTTGTGCTTGCGAGTATCTCACTGCTAGGTCAACAAGACTGTAAATGAGAAACCAGATAGGAACCGCGAACCCGAATGCAGACACGTGTCATGTACATCGCGAATATAGCAGATATAACGCATGTCACAAACTCAGAGCTCAGTTGTTTGATGATCAGTCTGTATTCTTTCGAAAAATATTCTATCAACTCTCATCTCCGTTGCCCTGTCTTTCAGTGTTGCTGCCGTCTCTGTCCATCATCATCTCATACCCGTCCTGTCTCCCCTCTACGGATCTGCTAGTGCGCAACAAGAAGACGAGGGCCCAAAAGTGACGACTCTTACACGGATCGCGACCTCACCCTGCGACTGTTGCGAACACTTGCGCTCACAAAAGCAACAGTGCTTGGTCACCTCCTGGACCCCACAACGTCACTGAGAACGACTATGAGAGAATCGAGTTCCTCTTCCAGTGAGATTCACAAGTGTATGCTCTCCAGCTGTTTTTGGGGTCGAGGCCATGTTGTCTGGTTGAAGCGCGCTGCCACGAATTCTGGCTGCTCTTGAAGTCTCGGCTTCAGGCTAAGGCTTGAAGCTGAATCTGGCACGAGAATAGCCTGACGACAGTCTGTTGGCCGATTGCTTCCAGTCTTGCTAAAGGGCATGCGCTTCAAAGAGGCAAGAGCGGGCCGTTTTGGGTTCAGCGCGACAACGACATGAACCACTGCGTGACAAGTTTGTAGCTTCAGCCTGCTGCAAGCCTGCAGGACAAGTCGCGTCTCTACGTCC